TATCAGATGATTCTTTGAAAGAAGCACAATACTGATTTTAAGCACATTCTTGTCAGTTGAACATTTGAGTTTACATTGATACAGATCACAGGATAAAATTATTCAAGATTGCATTAAATATCAGTTTATAAAGGACTCCTGGTGTGGCATCGTAGGCTAAGCACTGGATCACAAGGTTGGTTTGAACTGTAAGATCAGTGGTTCAAATCCATCAGCCCTCCTCATAAACTCTACACATAGAGTGTCTATGAGTCAGAACCAAGTCAATGGAACTAACCAACAACATTCAACATCCTAAGCAAAATAGAGATTCCTGGGTAAGCATTGGATTGCTAACCACAGGTCAGCTATTCAAAGCCACATGCTGCTTCATGGGAGAAAGAGGAAACAGTCTAGTTCTATAAAGATTTACTGTCTCCAACACACTGTATAATGTCACTGTGAGGCAGAACTGACTCGATGACAGTGAATTTATTTTATTTTATTTTATTTTTTGTTTTGATTCTAAGCAAAAAGGAGTCCTAGTGGTGTTGTTGCTAACCTAGGCATTGGGTTGCTAACCATAAAGTCAATGATACAAACCCACCAGCCTCTCTGCAGTGAAAAGTCTGACAGTCTCTGAAACCCTGTGTATAGGACCCCTATGAGTTGGAATTGACTCAGTAGCAATGAGCGTGGTTTGGTTTGTTTGTTTCCTTAGTAAAAATCCCAGACTGCACCATTGCATTGCCTTCTGCTAATAAATTAAGAGGCTAAATAATGAATACCAGTGTATCTTGGCATGTAATTTACAAAGATTATATACTAACAATTAGAAACCCTGAATCTGGGTGATATTAATTCTCCTTTGCCTTTGTTGTAGTTAAGTGCCGTTGAGTCGCTGGTGGGTTTGAACAGCTGACCTTGTGGTTTGCAGTCTATTCGGTGCTGATCACTAAGGAAATATACCTTTGTAGAACAATATAAGAATGTATCTTTTTAAAGCTTCAATCTCTCTCTTCTATATAAAACTTTCTTGAGTAGGACTAGCTTCATTTACTTGGGCATGGCACTAACAACAAAGGGCCTGAACTTATTTTATATTCTTCAGTCACTATCTTGAAACTCTTTATAAATGTTTTAAAGGGGCTCTGCATTTTCATTTTGTACTAGTCCTCATAAATTATGTAGCCAGTATTGCAAAATCCTTATTATGTAGTCCTAGAACAGTCTAGCACCCACCAATTTTTCTTTGCAATGTCATTTCAGTCCATTTCCTACCTTGATTTCTATTTTTTTTCCCAATTCCTCAATAAATCAAACTCCTCGGAACCTATGGTACACAATTCTTTCTATCTAGCCTACTTAATGGAGTCCTGGTGTGGTGCTGTAGGATAAGCACTGGACAGCTATCCACAAGTTTGGTAGTTCAAAAATCCACCAGCTGCTCCTTGTGGCACAGTAGATTAATGCACTGGACTGCAAAGTCGGTTTGATCCACAAGGTTGATGGTTCAAGCTCACCAGCTACTCCTTGGAAACTCTATACAGGGTCATTATGGGTCGGAATCGACTCCATGAAACTTAACAACAATATGTTGTTGTTGCTGTTGTTAGGTACCATCAAGTCGGTACCGACTCATAGCGATCTTATGCACAGCAGAATGAAACATTGCCTGATCCTGGGCCAACCTCACTACTGTTGCCATGCTTGAGTCCATTGATGCTGCCACTTGGCCAATCCATCTCGTTGGGGGTCTT